AGATTTGAACCAGGGAACTCCGAAAAATAGATCCAGGGCTCTCCCATTAATGTTAAGGCAGAGGAGACAGCAATATCTTTACCTAGATACCTCGACAAAAACAGGCTGGCCGGGCACCAGTGGCTCATGCCTGTAATCCTAGCTACTCAGGAGGCTGAGATCTGAGGATCACAGTTCAAAGCCAGCCCAGACAGGAAAGTGCGTGAAACTCTTATCTCCAATAAACCACCAGAGAACTGGAAGTGGCCTGTAGCTCAAGTGGTAGAGCACTAGCCTTGAGCTGAAGAGCTGAGGGACAGTGCTCAGGCCCAGAGTTCAAGGCCCACGACCGACAAAAAAAAAAAGGCTGCTACTGCCTATTCTTGATCCTGTTAGTTCAAGTGTGGCCTTCACCAATTATTTCTGGCAAAGCAGTCAGATTAATAATAATACACAGACCAGATGCTGCTTATAGCAGGTGAAAGTAATGGTGGAGAACTTTTTTGAATGGATAATTTTACATTTGATGAATCATTTTCATCTTAAAAATATGACCTCATTTAGGTCATATTTGCTGTTTTTGAGGTGGTGGACTGTCATTGGAGAAGGAGCTTATATATACTTCAAATGATGCTTTCAACTGCATTTGGATTAATTAGTCAATTTGATAGAAACTTGAGTTCTAAAGAAAACAGCATTATGATTTAACTCTGCAGAAGACTGTTAGTCCTGGTTTGTAAGTGGAATCTCTAGGTCAAATTGTTTGCAAGAGGAAATTAATGATGACAAATTAGAAGCAGATTATAGAACTTAGTTCACCCATTATTCTTTTTCTTTCTTTTTAGCAGTACTAGGGTTTGAACTCAGGGCCTCATGCTTGCTAGATAGGTGCTCTATACCCAGCCACATCCTCCAGACCAGATTTCATTTTGAAGTCCATTCACTAATTAATTTATTAGACGTTTAAACCTAATTCAGTATATATTAAAACATACTTAATTAAAATGTTAGATGATTCTAACTATGCACTGGAATTATGGCTCGCGTGGTAGAATGCCTGCCAAATAAGCATGAGGTTCTGAGTTTAGAAATTTTAGAGCTGAAAACTTCCTGTTTCAGGGGGCCTCCCCTAGTGGCAGAGGGTGGCTCTGCAGTTTTACTCTGGGATGCTAAAGCTTCGCAGAGGCAGAAGAGGCGCCATTCAACCATGGATTGGGAGCCAGAGACAGCTGAGAGACCTCGAGGCCCAGGATGTCTAGGAGGATACACTTTCTCTAACCTCTTCTAGACTCCAGCCCCTAGGTCTATAATATATACTTCTGAATGGAGGTGTGGGAGTGGGAAACAAAACTATAACTAGAACAAAAATGTATGAATTGTGACGAAGGGTGAAATCTTTCCCTTAGATATCAGAGTCCGTTGTCCCCATCCAAACAAGTAAATTCCCAACTTTCATTCATCTGAAATTAGAGGAGCAGAGTTCTTTGTTGTTTTGTTTGTCTGTTTGTTATTTGTTTGTTTCTCTTGCCAGTCCTGGGGGTTGAACTCTGGGCCTGGGCACTGTCCTGGTCTTCTTTTGGCTCAAGGCTAACACTGTACCATTTGAGCTACTGCTCTGCTTCTGTTTTTTTCTGTTATTAATTGGAGGTCAGAGTCTCACAGACTTTCTTGCCTGAGCTGGCTTCAAACAGCAATCCTCAGATCTCAGCCTCCTGAGTAGCTAGGATTACAGGAGTGAGCCACCAATACCCAACTTGAGTTCTTTGTAGTTTGATTTTACAGTGCTGTAGCTAATAGCATCCAGAAAATAACTTCTCTAAGAAAACTCTAACTTCTCTAAGGAAGAGGAAAGGAAGGTGGAAAGGGAACCTTTATAATCAAACAGATTGGAAAATAGTCTTGTCATTAAAGAAGTGATTCCCAGTCCACTGAAGAGATTCATTCTAAAGTGACACCAACATAATCTGCCCATCTGCCATAGCTTCCATTTGTATTTTGTAACAACCCAGAGCCATTCTCTAAACATATGTACATAGATATATACATATATGTATTTCCGTATGTGTATTTCCATGTGTGTATATACATGTGTGTATATATACATATATATGCTTATGTGTGTGTGTGTGCGTACAATATACTCATAGCATGTAAGGATCCTTAGAGCTTTTTTAGAGAAATGTTTTCTTTTCTTCTTCCTTGACTTTTAGCTCTGTCCTTTGAGTAGTCCTACTTTTTCTTCTTTTCTGTTCTTTTTGATGCTATTGGGGTTTGAACCCAGAACCTCACAGTGGCAAAGCACAAGTGCTCCAGAGCCACACCCCAACCCTTATAGCTTTAGTTAGTTTTCAGGTATGGTCGCCTGGGCTGACCTCAGACCTCTTTCCAAGTAGCTGGGATCATAGGTCTGTACCATTGTGTCAGCCCTGAAAGGCTAGACATTTCCTTAATGTCTTTTCTTAAAGTCTTTTTCAGAAGACTTTCCAATGAGTTTCATTAAATGTATTTAATTGACTTCCTGTTCATTAAGAAGGAGAATTGTACAGGATATAAGCATGTATAGAAGGCCAAAAAAAGCTAGAGTGTTCCTAAAGGAAATGAAGCTGAAGGTGGAAAACAGGTAAGACCATCCTTCTAGCTTGCTCTCCTAGGCTTTCATTTAATTGGCATTTGTGGGGCACTAACCCATTTACATGGTGCTGAACACCAGCAAACGGTATAGATTGGAATATTTGAGAGAGAAGGACATGCCACCTGCATGGTGGCTGCTAAGCAGAGGTTTTGGCTTACTCACATATACTTGAATGTAGTGCTGTGCTGAAAGTGTTAGGGCATCATTTCTACATATACATTTTACAATGCACTACTGTGGTATTTCTCCCTCCAACTTAGTCTCAGGCTCATCATCTGATTCCTTGCCAACCTTAGTGTGGGCCAAGTGCATCCATGTGATTCTTCCATAGTTTGAAAAAATACCTTTTTGAACCAAGTACCAGTGGCTCATGCCTGGATCCTCAGGAGGCTGAGCTCTGAGGATCATAGTTCAAAGTCAGCATGGGCAGAAAAGTCTGTGAGACTCTTATCTCCAATAACACTGTTCAGAAAGAACAGGAAGTAGCTTAAGTGGTAGAGTGCAACCATTGAGCACAAAGAGGCTCAGGGACATGTGGGGGTCCTGAGTTCAAGCCCCAGGACCATCAAAAATAAATAAATCTTTTTGGGTGATATTGTCCAAAAAGAAATGTGCTCATTAGCTAGCTTATGAAATGGTAATCCCTTCATAGTAACAATAAAATCCCATTATAGTAACAATAAAAAAATTTCCTTTTAAAAATATCTTTTCGTAGAATGAATTTGATCAAATGGATGTTTTAAATGTCATAATAATTTTAATAACATTTTTTTGTCTGTGTGCCTGTACTGGGCCGCTCAGGACCTCATGCTCTTGCTTGTTTTTTTTTTTCCTCCCCTTTTTTTCCTCATTGCTGGTGCTCTACCACTTTAATCACACTTCCATTGCTGTTTTTTAGTTTTTTTTTTAATTTATTAATTAGAAATAAGAGTTCTGTTCAGTTTTCTGTCCACATTGGTTTTGAACCACAGATCTCAACCTCAGATCTCAACCTCCTAAAGAGCTAAGATTATAGGCATTATCCATCAGCACCTGTCTGACAGTTTTGAGTTTTTTTTTAAAATATCTTTTAACTCTACTTCAGGTTCTGTTTTTCTTCATTTGATTACAAATAAATTGAACTAGCTAAGAAAAAATACCTCCAGAATTTTTCTGGTTTCTTTCCTTTGGTGCTGAAGAGATAGATACAGAGAAGTAGACAGTCAGTCAGACAGACAGACATTTGATAGTGGTAATAGTAAGATCAGTGGGAACTTCCAAATAGCGTGCATCTTCCTGTAAGCAACTGTAAAGAAAGATGCTGAAGCTTTAAAGAAGAAAGTTGTAAGCAATTCTGAGTCACAACTTTGGGAATGACATTGTCATTGTCAAGAACTGTGGGTGATGTCTGTGTACTGTGAGTATACACACACACACACACACACACACACACACACACCACAGTGACAGATGACCTATTGAAATAATTTCAGAGCCGTTCTGTGGTTGCTACGACAACCAATGCTCTCTTGGCTTTCATCTGGCCATGTGACAGAGACTTTGACGTCAGCTAGAGGCAGAGTCTGTGGCTGAGTCCACACAGCCAAAGGCTTGGGAGAATCTGGTAGATGCTGGCCGCTGCTGCTGCCGCCACCACCACTGCTGCTGCTGCTGCTGTTGCTTCCCAGGGTCTGTGGAGCATGGACTGCTAAACCCTGCCCTTCTGTGTGAGGTAATGAGTTTGCTTTGTGTATTATAGTTAGGTGTTTTTATAGCTCATGTGGTTTTCTCCTCTCTTATCTTCTGCAAGTTTGTCTTCATGAGCAATTCTTGTTAGACCCAGCAAAGAATGTGAAACAGCTCCTAGTCATGAATTTTGTGCAAAGGCTATGGAATTTGGTTAAATTGGGATTAATGTTCCGTGAAGGAGGTTAAAATATAATTGCTATTCTTGCTCAACACTTGCTAATGTAACCTCATTTAAAGATACAGACTTGTCACTTGAGCCCAGTGTGCTCTTGTGAATTCCAGGAATCTTTCCTTTAGTATTGTTTGGGATTTAAAAGTCCAGCATTTCTTAGTGTGTAACTAACTTTTTCCGTTTTGCAATTGCTCCCTGCTTCTGAATCAGCCAAGAACAGTTAGGAATTTGCTTTCTAGCTTGTTCGTAAACTCATTATTAGCAACAATGCGGAGAGTGAGCAAGAACATTAGACTCAAAGTTGGAATTTTTCTGTAAATAAGACCTTGGCATTCTGAAAATACTGGAGAAAACTGTCAACAGTTTCCTGTTTAGAGAAAAATAATTCAGAGCATGCCATGGAAGCTGGGATGGAATCTTTACATGCAGTGTGCATGGAGTTGCGTTTTGGCTGTGAGAGGAAAGTACACATTTTCAGTGCCCTCTCCTGCAAATAGGTCTGTGAAGAGAATGTCATTCGATAGTCTTTTAATAAGGACCCCTGCAAGCTGTTTTTTTAATTAAAGTAATTATCCAGGGAAGAAAACAATAGACTTGAAACTAAATATGTCATTGATACAAGGTCTACTTCAACTCAGACTTAGTCACTGAAAATTTGCATTAGATCTTAGGTGAATAATTTGGTAACTGTGGTTAGTAGGGTTTTTTCACTAACTGTGGTTAGTAGGGTTGTTATTCCTACAATATACTTCAGATTGTTTTATTTGCATTGGTATAGTTTGTTTCCTTTCCAAGTTTAATAATTCAGAATTTGCTTTCATTGCACACGAAGTTGGACTGTTTTGTAGCATAGAATTCAATGAAAACCTCTGGTATTGAAGTTAATGGAAGCATAGATTTATAACCACATTTCTAAATCTTATAGATTTAACAGGAAAAATGCAAAATTTAACATACCAGATGTAATATAGATAGTAATTTTACAAGGAAAAAACAGGCTTAACTATATATATATATATATATATATATATATAGTTGATGGTGCATGAAGTATATCTCAATTCAATATAACAACATATTGGTTTTGTTTTTATGTTCTTTATAGTTTCAACATACTGATGGTTATTTATTTATTTATTTTATGGGAATTTTGAACAGTGTGAAGTGAATAATTATGGCTATATTAATAGTTTCTTAATAGCTTTCTATGAGTGGCTCTTCGTTTAGCTTGCTGGTGTTCAGTGTGTCTATTTTGGTCAGAACCTCCATGGAGGATTTTTCCAAAAATCAAATGCACTATTATTCTCAACACATCAACTGCGACACCATCTCATCACTTAATTGATCTTGTAATTATAATAACCTAAAGGGCCTATTTTAACACCCCTTAAAATATGTTAATTGCTGTGTAATATTTTAATTGACCATGGAGAGGACCAGTTAGTGCCATCATTAAAAGCACCATGGATGATGGGGTGCACTTCGATGCTTCCTTCTTTTACTCAAACTATGGTATTGTCATGATAGCTTTTCTTAGTGTTCCCTCTGTGTTTTAAAATGAAGTCATAAGATGACTACTATATTCCTCTTATAGATTGAATTTCAATGCTATAAAATATAACAGACTAATGCAGTGTTAATGGCAAAATGTCAATGATGTGGTCTATAGAAAGCAAGCTATGCTATGAAAGCTGAGATATCTCTAGTCTACAGGTCTTCGCCCATGGCAAAAAAAAAAGAAAAAGAAAAATTGGCTCTTCTTAGAATAATTCATTTGCAGCAACAAGATTATGCTGATGTCAAAGTCAAGTTTGTTTGAGCTTCAACAAATTCTGGTAAGGAATGATTAGAAACCTGGCTGTTGCATTATTAAATGCCTTGTGTATAGTTTCGGGGATTCTTAACCTTTTGGGTGCCATGAGCTTCTTTGGCAGCCTGGTGAAACCTATAGACTCCTTCAAGAGTGAGGTTTTTAAAATAAGCCATGCAGAATTTCAAGGGAAATCAATTTTATCTAAAAACATGAGCCAATTTTTATAGCAATTCTGATATGTACATTATTAATAATACATTATTAAATAGTACAGGTACATTATTAATAATGCATTATCAAATAGTACAAACTAGCAGCAGGGGCAACAGCTGCCATAGTTTGGAAGTCCTGGTGTGCATACATGGTATTTTGAGACTGAGTTGGTATAATAAGTGTAACATGATGTGAAAATATCTGTGGTTTCTCTTGGCAACAATATCATAGACATCATGGTTTGGTTTAGTATTAATTGAAATTAATACTAAATTTCAGTTTGAGGTTGTGAAAACCAGAATGTAATTTTTTCCAGCCAAGTTCACTGAGTTCTCTTGAATTCTGTCTGTCCCTGAGCTAAATGATAGGAGAGTCTGTGACACCAAAAGGTTATAGAACTACTTACTGGACAATATCCAGAATGTCATTTCCATATTCAGATAGGATTTTATTCTCCCAGGGTGTGAATTTCCAGAACTCACCAAATCCTGTGGGAAACGGATGTCACGTTCATACACTAATTGTCACTCTCCCTTATTTTCCTCCCAGAGCTTCATAGCAGACCCATATTACCTGCACCAGGAAACTCTTACCTGGTTAGAGAAGGGTTAAGAGGAAAACTTAGAGTGTTTATGCATGTGCTGTTTACAAAGGGACCTTTATGCACTCAGGGAAGATAAGCAAGTAGTTCTTAAATGAAGAATGCTGGATGTTATATGAGATCGTGGCTGAAGAAACACTCTAGAAGGTACTTTGTGTGCAAACACATTTGAAGAGAAGAACATTAAAGACCTACCTATGACTTCATAGCTTAATGTAAGGCACGCGCGCGCACACACACACACACACACACACGTATGCATGTATGTGTGTGTTGAAAAATTGTAGTGTTCATTCCATTTACTTCACATTTATCTGCCAGAGGTCTCCAAGCTAAAACATAGTCATCATACAGTGGGAAATGGAGACACCTCCTAAGAAATCTGAGTGTAATACCTTAATTGGACTTAGAGGATATTTTAGATCCACGGCAGGAGGTGTTCATGTATGACATACATAAAAGTAATGGCCTCATTCCTCACCTCATTTTAAATGTGCAGAAGATATTGCCAGATTTTTCTTTCCACACAACTGGGGGAACTCTGCATCCGCTGACTGTGTTTGGAACGTTCCAAGTCATCCTTCTATTACATCAGCGCCATCATCCCCGCGTCGCGTAAGAGAACAGGAAGTATGACATTTTACACAAGCTGTTGTTTAAACCCAACCCAAATCCTTCACATTTGAAATGGAGGCTTAGCAATTTTTCTTCATGTTGTTCTCAGAGGGATTATGAAAGAGGATGTTCTCAAACATTTCTTACTCTGTGGATTAGGAACGAACACCTGCTTTGGAGACTCTGGGTCTCTGTAGCAACCTGATAAAGAAACTTGGGAAAACTTTAACTAATCTCTCACTCCCTGACTGTATACTTTCCTTCTTGATAGTAGCTGGCTGAAACTTTATGTTCAGAAAGGAATGTGTCATTATTTTCTTTTTATGAAATTAACTTATTTAAATGGTGCCTCATGATGAAAATCCAACTAGAAACAACATTCCAAAATAATGCAGCAACTTTTATTGTTTCCAGAAGTGATACCATGAAAGTTAGTGCTCATTGAGACTTTGAGATAAAATTTATGTGATAAATATTTAAATTCACTGGAGCCACAGTTTCCAAACTAAAAGCAGCCTGTTCTCTGTGGCTAAATTTAGGGGATTTTTTTAAAGAATATATACCTATAAATACCTTGAATTAAAGACACAGTATCTCTTTAAAGTTTCCTTTATGTTAATGTAAAACAGAATATGCTCAGATCACAATGAAATCTTACATTTGATTTGTAGGAAAAAACATCTCTAGTTTGAAAGATTTTATATAGCTGCTTCCTGTCTTTTTTTTTTTTTTGGTTGGTTGTGGTGCTTGAACTCTGGGCCTGGGCACTGTCCCTCAGCTCTTCAGCTCAAGGCAAGAGCTCTACGGCTTGAGCTACAATGTCACTTCGGTTTTTTAGTGGTTTATTGGAGATAAGAGTCTCACAGACTTTCCTGCCTGGGCTGGCTTTGAACTGTGATCCTCAGATCCAGCCTCCTGAGTAGCTAGGAGTGAGCCACCGGCGCCCACTTTGCTTCCTGTCTTAAGGAGAGGATTGTCCATGTTTTCTGAATTTTTTCCCCCAGAAACTCCAGGAAAACCAAAGGCTATCTACATTACTTGTATGCAAGAATGGATTTTTTTCTTTTTTTAATAATAAGTTTTTTATTGTAAAAATACTATACAGAGGGGTTACAATTACATGATCAAGGTAATGAGTATGTTTCTTTTTTTTAATTTTAATTTTAATTTTTTGTGAACATACTGTACAGAGGGGTTACAATTACATGAGCAAGATAATGAGTACATTTCTTATCAAGCATTGCAGCCTCCTCCTTTGTTTACCCTTCACATCCCTTCCCAGCCTCCCCCACCCCACACCTAACCCCCTCCCCCCCCCCCCCCCCCCCCCGCACCAAAGTTGTAAAATTTGTTTTCGACATGACAACTTGTACTTCTCATAGTTGCATCGGGTCCACCTGTATCCTTAAACGACTTGTTTTTCCCCATCTCCTCCACAAATTATACTGTGGAGGAGGGACATACAAAGCTACAAAGAAATCATCTTATAAATTAGTTAGAAACAAATGCATGAAAGAAAAAAACATATCTAAGGGTTCATTTTCCTAACATCACATTATCTGACCTTTCCTGCTTGACTCATACATATACTAGATACTGCAAATAAGGGAAACCATGGGACCTATGTTTCTTTGGGCTTGGCTTACTTCACTTAATATAATTTTTTCCAAGCCTTTCCATTTCCTAACAAATGGGGAAATGTCATTCTTTCTGATGGAGGCATAGAATTCCATTGTGTATATATACCACATTTTCTTGATCCATTCATCTACTGAGGGGCATCTGGGTTGGTTCCATATCTTAGCTATGGTAAATAATGCTGCAATAAACATAGTTGTGCTGGTAGCTTTACTGTGGTCTTGTTTGTAAACATTTGGGTAAATGCCCAAAAGTGGGATTGCTGGGTCATAGGGGAGGTCTATGTGAAGTCTTTTCAGGAACCTCTATACTGCTTTCCAAAGTGGTTGAACAAGTTTACACTCCCACCAACAATGAAGTAAGGTTCCCTTCTGTCCACATCCCCTCCAGCATCTGTTGTTGTTAGAGTTCTTGATTATAGCCATTCTAACTGGGGTGAGGTGGTATCTCAATGTTGTTTTGATTTGCATTTCTTTTATGGCTAGGGAGGTTGAGCATTTCTTCATGTGTCTATTGGCCATCCTTCTTTCTTCTTCAGAGAAGTTTCTCTTCAAGTCTTTAGCCCACTTATTTATTGGGCAGTTGTTTCTTTGAGGATTTGTTGTTGGGGGATTTAATTTTTTGAGTTCCAAGTATATTTTAGATATGAGACCCTTGTCCATTGTATGGCTAGTGAAGATCTTCTCCCAATCTGTGGGCTTTCTATTGATCTTGCTAGCTATGTCCTTTGCCATGCAGAAGCTCTGCAACTTCATGCAATCCCATTTGTCCAACCTTTCTTTGATTTGTTGTGTTTCCAGGTCTCTATTAAG